GCGGGTGGCGCAGGTCGTGGGCTGCCGCAGCGGCCGTGCAGGGGAGCTGGGGGTGCCAACACTGAGCACCCTGGGAGGGCGCGGGTGCTGCCGGGGATGCGGCCGGGACCTTGTGGGCAGCTCTGGGGCTGGGCCTGCCCTGGGCTCACGGTCTCAGCCCGACGGCCACCGGTGAGGGCGTCCATTCACCGAGCGAGCAGGGCACCGTCCCGGGCAATCGCTGCGCAATGAGCATCAGACACCGGAGCCACAGTGCAGATTTACTGTGAACACACATGATCACAACAGCGCGGAGATCTTTGGGCACAGCTTCACAAAAACACAGACCCTAGCTACAGACAGACACGCAGACTTGTCCATAAATACGGGAGGCACAGCCCTGGCCTGCGCTCAGCTGCGGCAGGGGCACCCGTGTGGATCTCGCCCTCAGGCTTGTGCTCACAAGTCCTTTACATAAATATGTATTAAATACTTCTCATTTTATATAGAATAAAGATTTCTCCTTATTGGTTTCTAATAATCCTGATTTGTTCAGATAGCAGTTTCTTTTGATTTCTGTCACCAAGACTTCAGAGCTGAACCCTGCCTGACCCTTGGGGACCAGAAAAAACCCGTGTGTGTCCTCCCTGCCCACCTCTCCCCGCTGGACCCCAGGCTCCTGCCCCAGCGCGGCAGGTAAAGGGCCAGGTCCACGCCAAAGGGACGCGTTCGTGCTAGCGGCAGCCTTGGCCCTCACTCCTTCCCACACTCACTCTGACGCTTTCTGCTTCTCCTGCTCTTGCTGCCGTGGCCGCTCTGGACCCGTTTTTTTGTGGCCGGGGTGGGAACTGCGAGAGGAAGAAGGAAGGACCAGAGAGGTTGGTGGTTGTGGTGGATCTGATCGCTTTGGGCCCAGAGCGTCTTTCTCTGAAGGCCGTGGGCTCAAGGGAGCATCTGTCCCCTTTGGAGCTACCACCCCAAAAGCCTTGGCTGTACCAATCCTCTAACCCTGCTGTCCCAGCCCCTGGGACCCCAGTGCAGCCCCACGTCCCTGCCCCACGGAGGTGCCAAGCCCGTGTTTGCTGTTAACGCGGCCGATGGGGCGCAGTCTCCCCCCCGACCAGCAGCGCTGGCTGTGGAGGAGCAGAGCAGCCCCTTCCCCACCCCTGTGGCCTCGGGACACGGCGTGAGGCGCGGCGCAGGACGCGGGGCTGCCCTTGGGCCGGGAGCGCTGCGGTGTCCCCTGAGCCCCTAATTCTGCTCCTCCCCACGCAGCGGCTGTGGCTCCCACACCCCCCCCCGCCCCTCCTCACCCGGCACCCAGGA